AGGCTTAAGATCCTTTCAGGTTCTGGAATCTACTAAACTACTGAACAACTAAATTTGATTGGTCCCCGGATCTTTGTTATAACTAATACATCTACTGAGGAATAGGGGATGTGCGCTTATAGGCAAACATTTCACCTTTGAAGTTAGTAAGGGGGATTAGCTGGTCTGTGATTGGTCCACTGTGTGTCACTGGGAATATCCAATTCCTCGTTCTCAAAACAGGAAAAATGGTGTTTGATTGGTTATATTGTTCTCTATGCATCCTTGTGACAGGCATTAGAAGGCATAGGAGTGCATGGCCCACAGCATAATGCACATCCTGCAAAGCATTCACAGGCATTCACAGTCACCAAGAAGCTGATGTTCAATCCCTTTGTATGATTTTCTCACCTCAAATACAGACTGTCACCATCCCTAGGGTCCAAAAGTGACCTCAAACGGATGCTATTGCTGAGTGCTCTTAACTTTTCTGTAAAGTTTGTAGTTAAACAAGCAAATATAGGAAAGGACTTACAGAACACAGTTAGGCTGCAATCCTAAGGACTGTCTGAAAAAACACAAATGCACAGTAAAGAGGACTAATTCATTTTGTACCACACAATAGATTGACTGAACAGGAATATACCATGAGGAGAATTTTTCCTGAAAAGTGTTTTGATGTGTTTAACAGACTGTTTTCTAGATTGCAAATTACTACAGGAGGATATTTACCTCACTTCCAGTAAGGCCTGCGTGTAAACACTGTGCCTACTAGAAAAATCATTAACCATTAGCCCGCTACTTACTGGGAATTGCCAAACCTCCCATTAGCAGAACATATGTTTTTTCCCTTGTTGAGAGGGAAAAGTGCCTTTATTACATGGCAAGACTGAATAAATGAAGAAATAAGGGAACAAATTAAATGTCTTATGGAATTCAATTTTTTTGTCATAATACAGTACAGCTTGACAGGAAATCTTAATGAGTTCCAAAAAACAAACACACAGGATTCAAACTGACATCGTCAGACCGTGCTGTTCCTGTCCGCTTGTCAGACAAATCACTCTTCATTTAAATAATGATCCTGGCAGCACAGGGGAAACACACAGGTACATTTTACGGCCTGTCTGAGGGGACGGGGTGGGGGCTGTGCCACAAACAGGTGCGAGAGGCACGACGAAGCAGGACTATTGATCAAAGGCTTCTATTCCGTTTCTGGCTGTCACATTCCACAAATGGGACCAGGCTGAAGAGTTACCAACCAGCGCTGGCACTAAAAACACAACGATGGCTCCAGGTGCAGAAGTTGGTGGGGACATTCCAGCTGTGTCAAAAACCGTTTGATGAATATTTCAGAGGGACGGCAGCAAAGCCCTGAGATTTGACGTGCTGTGATGTGATATCAGCTTTCCAGTCGGAGCCAAAGACCTGATAAAATATTCATGTTTGCGTTGTTTGTAAGTGATTCCTCTCTGGAAATCATGACAATTATCTTCTTCTTGCGTTGACGGAGGAGACTTAACACTATTCCTTCTCAACTCCGCAGGACATTTCTATGATATGTCAGTAAGAAAAGACCACTGCAAGTCTGGGTTCTCCTATAGCCCAAAGCAATTTCCTTATAATTATGAAATAAATGTATTCAGCCTTTACAGTATTTAGCAGGCTTGTTTATCCAAAGCAACAAACACTTGAGAAAGCAGAGTCAGCCAGTCCCTGGATCAAATATGGCTGAGACCCAACCTCAAGGGCCCAACATGGAATCAATATGCCAACTGTAGGTCTAGAACCAACGACCTTCCAATCACAGACACAGCGCCTTAACCCACCAAAGCACACACCGCCCTGAGAATTAGCATGCAAACAGCGCATTTCTGCGCCCATAGAAACACTAATTCTCACTGTCTCATACCAACATGCAGCTGGTGTGATGAAAATTTGAATCTCGCCCCCAGCTCTGTGTGTGTGGAGTTTGCATGTCCTCCTAGTGTTGGTGTGCCTTTCCCTTCAAGTACTCTGGTTTTCTACCACATCCCAAAGACACGCAGTATGGTAAACTGGTGTCATGAACCTCTCCAGCCTCACCACAACCCTGTATTGGGTATATGAATACAGCAAATGGGTTTAAAAATACCAGTACTGGTATAAAACTGTTAAACTGGTATAGAAAAAAGTAGTCTCACAGATTCTTGTCATTACCATCTCCTAAACATGCAGGTTAAAACTCATTTTAACCTGTGCGTTTGATATCTATTTCTTTAGCAATAAATTTAAAAATGCTAACTTTAATTACTTTGGCGAAATTGATGGGTCATCTTCAGCTGTGTGATCTGCGCATTAGTCAGCTGCGTGATTCAGTTCCTCCTTACTCCACGGGTTTGTCAGACGCGCTGAAAGTGATAGCGTGCAATTCTGACTGCGGCCATGTGGAGTGAGGTGAACAAGGCGAAAGCACAGCACACCGGTTTAAGGCTGCATGTTTTTAAGCGCTGCTTTCCGAAACCAATTATCGGCATCGCATTTCAAAAGCACTAAAGTTAATTTCCCTGAAAGCTTCCATCCCCTGAAATGTAAGAAAGGCCCACAGCACAAATAGAGCTACTTGAAGCTCATACTCAGAAACAGTAAAATAAAGACTGACTTGGCCACCATACACATTGATAAATGTCAACGATGAAGATTAATAATCATCGAGATCGTGCCAGCAGCAGAATCACTCAACCGATCGATCACTTTTTCTGTTTCTGTTTTTAGGCGTGTTTTGTTAAAGGACAGATGGACAGACAAAAGCTGAGAAAATTAAGCCCATCTGCCTCCAAGTTAATTAGCAAAGCTTAAAAAGAAACTGAAAAAAGTTTCACATTGTACACTAAGTACTGAAATACTACGTCTCTGAACATGGTAGGAGGCAGAAGATTAGCAATTGGAAGTGAAATAGGTAACACACAGATTAATTTTACAGCCTAAATATTACATTTAATTAATCATATACTACGCAGACACAAATCAAGCGTAAACCAATTTTCTGGATGCAGAGTACATAGCCAGAAACTTTTTACCGAAAATGAGAGACAAGCGACACATTTCCGACTTCTTAAGCAAGCAACTTTTTTGTAACTATTTTCGTTCTCCCAGCAGATTTCCCCAAAACTAGGCAAGTGTTGACACGAGGCAAATAGGTCTAACAGGAGTTATTACCGAAGCCAGAAGTGAAAAAGACTGCATTTAAAAAGAAAAGAAATGTGATTCCTTAATACATCTAGAATTTCATTACTGTGCACAAAGTACTTCTTCTCTCACTACATCCCCACAAGCAATCTAATATTTTGCATATTTATCATCGAACCGCACAATATTTACATTATAAATTAATTAACTTCTTAATAACATGTTTGTCATAACATTCTTGGGTCCTGACAATTTATTTATAGTAATATTACTTTGTTCACATAATTAAGAATAATAACCTAATTCAGTTACATCCACGCAGTTTGATTGCATTGTCTTTTTAGTTGAAAGGGTAGTTGTTCGATATCCAAAGAATGAAACATAAAATATGATTCAAAGACCGCTCTGAGTAGACACGGTATTATTTTCGTCACGTGTCGAATGAGATTCTTCCGGAGGAAAAACATTACAAAAAACGTTTCAGGTAATAAGACTAAGGGGTGATAGCTTACGTTTATCTGAAACAACGTCTTAAAACGCGTCAGGGTTGTTATCCAAATTTCGGACAAATATTCAATTACTCCGATGTTCTTATGAAAATGAAAACCCAATAACAACGCATTACACAACCATTACAATTTACAACTTTTGCATAAGCGATCGCGAACCGATTCAATGACAAATAAACATCCAACATCTTTTGTGGCTATAGTAGTCCCAAATGGGCGGAGCCACTATATAAGCAAGTTACTCACGTAAAGCAACAATGTTTTGTTGTTATGAATATATTTAACTTCATTCGAGAACCATAGTGTACAGTTCGATATTATTTTTATCTCGTAAAATATACACGCACTTTTAATTCTTGCGTATATCCCACAGTCTGTTTTCTTGTGATCACTGCTGCAGTATCGACACACAACTGCTCAATAAATCCACCCACTTTTTAAAGCTGACGTTAAACTTAATTCAATTCTTTCGATTTCACCACCCGATGACAGATATATAAAACATTAAAATAATTAAGATTTAATAGTAAATGACAAAGCATGTTTGATGAGCTTACATATTCAGGAGACCTTTATCCTATCGTCCGGCGAGGATGCTTTAGGTTTTCTGCATCAGCACCAAGGACCTACAGGAACTCCCACCTGCCCAGGGACCGTCTATAAATTAAACACCACCATAAATTTAAGGGGCCGTCATCAAGTGCCGAATTCAACAAAATATTAACCTGACGTAATTTTAAATTACTTCAATATATCCAGAAACGAAGGCGATAAGAGAAAGATTTTGGCAGAATTAATTGAATAAAATACAGATTAATAGGTTATGAACCGCATCACAGTATATGTATATGTGAATTATTTGTGAATTAACTCAATTAAGTCTGGAGTTTTAAAACATTACACATAAATGGCTAGTATTAAATTATGAACGTTTGTGCGTTATTTTTTATTAAATGAAAGTATCGAAATCAGGCAGATGGATCGTTAAAAATACACTGACACCTGCTGGCGAAGCAGACGTAACTCTTATCTGAAAATTGACAAAAAGCTGTACATTATTTCATTGTACACGATCGGACTGATACAGACCAATACACGAAGAAACATATTTAGTAAAAATTGATTGTTAATAATGTGAATATAAAATACACCGTATGTTGGTACATCAGTAATGTAATTTACATCGAGAAAAAATTACTAAGCCCTTGATGGCATCGATTTGTTTTGTCTAGAAAACCCTGGAGCGTGCCCACGTTTCATTTTCCAAAAAGGCGGCTCTCGTCCACACCAGCAGGCGGTGCCAGAGGATGCAGCAGCTGCGCAGGCGCTTGGACTGTGCTGGCGGAGCAACATCGCCTTGGTTCCGGATGAGGTTTCGGTTTCCGTGAGTGCCGCCGTGGTTCTGAACGGACAGCTCCGGCTCATCGGGGAAGCCGGCAGCAGGTATGACATGTGCCTCCCTGAGCCGGAGCAGCGCAACGATTCGGGACGGATTCTGATTTAGTCTTGCTTATGCCATTTGTCCTTAGCCCGTTTTTATTGCTGTAGCACTAGGCTGCTATTGTGTTATATAAAGCATTCAGGCACTGGAGTCTGCCTGTGAGAGTGCTCCCTTCTAAACAGCCTTGTTTGAACGTACTGTGTTATAATCTACTATATAACAGCCTAGGCAGTTATATAAATTCTCCATGTGTACTGAACATATTTGTGCAAGTTTTCCAACTTTGGCTTCTGAGGGTCTACTGGTATGGTTCACCTATAAATCAGTGACTAATTGCAATGGCAGTCATATAATGGTATTTAGTCATTTGAGAATATTTTGAATTAATCAGATGAAGCTGTGACTGACTTAGACGTTTTAAATTAGACCAGTTTAATGTACAAAGTCGTCACGTCTCACGCATTTGAAAATTGCGCAGACAGACATTTAACCAAGATACATCTGCACTGAATCCTTTTAAAAGAAATACGTCTTTAGGAAGTGGATAAATTTACACAAAATGCATAGTGAACTATCTCCCATTTTTCTACTTACTGTATTTTAGCTTATATGCCGTAAAAAAAAATCTAGTTTTACTTTTCTCAGATTTCAAAGATCCAGATTACTAGGCTTACTAAATCTAGGGTAGCAAACGTTAAATTGGGCTGTCTAATACTATTACTGTTCTCATTTTAGTTAATTAGCTACAGTGATTTCCGAAGGGTTTTTGGCAAGAAGTGTCAGGCATGTCTATTTAAATTGTAAGTTTTATGCGAATGGCATGTTTTGGCCATGAATAAAACAATGAATTCTTGTTGTGTTTTGCGTATGAAAGATAAATCACTTGATAAACAAACCTGATTCCACCTGTCCACAGAAATGTACATCAGGATGTTCAAGCTGAGGCTTCTTAACGCCATCGCACCAGCTTACTTCTTCACTGCAACCATGGTAACCTTTGTCCTGCACTTTTATTTTTTCATACCCGCCATTTTTCAAGCCCCTGGAACCAGACTCAATGGTGCCACCTTGGTCCACAGTGCCGTCATCCTTTATCTGATGCTGAACGCGCTGGGTAACTACTTGATGACTATTCGGGACTCGGCGGAGAGCGCCAACGAGAACGTGATTCCGGTTTGCTCGCCGGACTGTCCGGACAAGGTGGACGCCCACTACCTGCTCAATGGACGCCACTTCTGCAAGCTCTGCAAGAAAGTGATTCTGAAGCGGGACCATCACTGCTTTTTCACGGGGAACTGCATCGGCAACAGGAACATGCGCTACTTCATTATGTTCTGCATCTACACCTCGTGCACCTGCTTATATTCTTTAGTGCTGGGGGTGGCGTATCTCACCGTGGAATACTCCATTTCATTCGAGAACCCCTTAACCTTCCTCACACTTCTGCCGCTTTCTACTGGCTACTTCTTCCTAGGTGAGCTTGTGACCTCGAACCGGGGCAGGAATCCCCGAAGCTGTTTGATGGGATGTCAAACTTCACTAAGCATCAATAAGGGAAGAAGTATGAAATGCTGGCTTTGTTACTAACCCACACAGGTGAAAGGTTCACGTCCAGAAAGTACAAATCCAGGCAAAATTTTTGTTTCAACCAGCTTGTACTTTTTGGACCTGAACTTTACAAATCTGCTGAACAGGATAGTGGGGTCTCTCTCAGGATGAATGTGAGTGAGGAGCAGAGGCTGGGGTGGGTGGGGCTCTGTGGAAAGCCTGCCTGATTACAGCTCTGCTCTCACCTTCAGGTACCATTCCGGGCCTCCAGTTCTTCCTGGTGCTGATGCTGTACGTGTGGCTGGGCATCGGCCTCACATGCGCCGGCTTCTGCCTGCAGCAGGTGCTGCTGGTGGCCCGAGGCCAGACCTGGTGCCAGTTGCGGCGGGGGCAGCTGGTGGAGAACCAGAGCTCCTGGAGGGTCAACCTGAGCGACGTCTTCGGGAGCCGCTGGGTACTGGGCCTCTTCCTGCCTGTCCAGACTGTGGAGGCCCCACTGGGGGGCACAACGCACAAGCATGACTAGGCCTCACAGAGGTGTTCTAAGGAAAGGTGGGGGTCTCCTTTGTAGACAAAACATTCCCTGAAACAATGAGACTGTGGCCTTTATCCAATGATTGGAAGAAATTAGCCTTCAAAACCCCCCAGCTGGTGGGATTACCTTGTGCTGTCAGTAACTGTGTGGCAATAACTGACTTCCCACTGGTCATTTTATTGGTTCCCGTTGGGTTGGACCCTTGACTGATAGTGTAAAATAATCCCACTGTGAATCTCTGGGGTCTCGTTGACCCCATCAGCACCATTCTCATTGTTTCATAAGAGTCGCTCCAGATGTAGCCTCAGCAGCCTGTCCATCACCTCGCATTCCTTCTTGTTTTTCTGCGTTTGTTGCTGTGCTTTTTTTTTTTCTTTTTAACACATCACAGCTGAAATTGGACCCCAGCAAGCAGCCAATGTGAGCCACCAGCTGTGCCGGGGCTTCGTGTCCTCGGGTGGGGGGGGGGGGGGGGGGGGGGGGGGATGGTGGCGCCTACTGTGACCCTCGAGAAGGCGGCTTCTCTCCGATCACGTGCCAGCAAGGCATCCATTGGTGCCATAGACTTTGACAGGCTTTAAAAGCAATTAAAAATGCGACAAGGGCATCGCTAATGAGTCATGCTCTGAGTTGAGTCAGGCAGCCCTGCTATCCAATGGCTGGGGGGGGGACATCATATTCACTTACAGTAAGTGTATGTTTTCTATGTCTTCAGTACCTAGAGCTCCTCTCATCTCACTGGCACTTGCTGGATTCATGTTCAGCATGTGTCATCCTCCCTTGCCTTTACCTTTAACACAGACCATGCTTAGTGACACATCAGCATTTGGCGTCAAATGAATTACAAGTTTAGATTCTTATTTCTGTCCAGGATTGTCAACTTTCCAAATAGGTTCCTCAAAAAACAAGATGGAAAATGAGGCGTCTCTTAAAATCAGCTATGGGGAGAAAAAAAAAAACGGTATCACATAAACTCCTCATCAGTGGCGGTCCCTATCAGGCACTGAAAGATGAATGCTGAAGCTTTTCTCTACAAAATGCATATGGGTTTAAGAAAATGCATAACCACAACAGAATCAGAGTTTCACTGACAAGTACCGGAGGGAAAATGCCTGCCGACATTTTTAGATCTCTCATAGTGAGTCGATGTCTGTTGTGCTGGAGTACGGAAGACGGTTTGACTTAGGACATGAGTTTTCACCTTTGTAGAACTAGGGAAAAGTTTTCGTACATGCACACGCACACACACGCAATATATTTATATTCTTCTTGAATTCAAGTGTTTGTTCAAGTTGAAAATTTTACAGAGAAATACCTTTAATCTACTTAGACCATGTGCCACTGAGAAAAACTGGAATATATTAATGCCAAAACATTGTTATAAACAGATACATACTTATTTGTATTATCTTTCACTTATTTATTTCAAACCAATAAAGTTCTCCTGAAACTGCTCTTGTTTACCGCTCCTGCATTGTTTTTTGCACTTACAGCAAATCACTGGACAAACACAGGTCGAAAAAAAAAGTTTATTAAGCAAACGTCAATGCAAATGATCAATTTAAAAAAATACAAAAAAGTGCACTTCAGTAAACCACAAATGATAGAAACAATAGACTGTTTTCACCATCTTCATCCATGTTGCATAGCTTTGAAAACATTTCCTCCTCCCTTTGGGAATAGAAGAGCAAGTTACTTTCCTAAATAATATAATGCTTTATAAGTTTTTCAATTAAAAAAACAAACTTTATGATCAATACCAGGAAAACTATTCTGTTTTTCTATGGTTTAACCCCTAACCTACAAATCCATGTAGAAACAATCACATTACTATAGATTTATAAAAGCTTCTGATCACATCACAGTTTTTCAAAACTGATTCTTTTTTTTGCAGTTATTTCATATACTAAAAGCTCTGTAAAGATCCTATCAGGTGCCTGTTACCCGTAAGACAGACACAACAGCGTATTAATGAGGGGAAACAGACATTCGAGAATCAGGTAAGATATTACTTGCTGTGTTGAATCTGTAAGCAACAACTCACACAGCTGATAAACCAGCATTGATTACTTTAGGAGTACTGTGGTACAACACTGAGAGATAAGACAAACCATCATTATATTTAATATATATATTTATATATATATATATATACACACACAATAATTTCTTGTAAATAGTAGTAAATAATGACTTATATACATATACTATGAATTCAGACACAAGACCATTACCAAACACATATGGTCTCATGTATAGATCATACAGATGTAATGAAAACCACATTTACAGCACATTGAAATAGGCCTACACAGTATTAGTTTGGGTAAAACACAAAACTAAATTGAATGCAAAGTTTTTGGGTTTTGGGTGAACAAATCCCTTAGAGGGGATGACATTTCAGCACACGACGAGAAGAACGACGGGTACCACCCGTGTAAAAAAGGGAAGACGGGTCGCAACAAGGGCGGCTTACTCAAAGGTGGCGTGGGCATCCCGCTAGACGCCAACGGGAGGCTCAGGAAGGTTGACAGTTTCACGTGTCCTGCCAACTGCAGGCACTGCACAAGAAACCATGAGTCATGTGACATGTGACTGCCAGGACCCCAGTTCTGATTCAGTTACATTTCTGATGGCCAGTCACCAGAGTACCAGTTATTAATCTCCACTGTCTTCAAGGTGCAATGGATAACTGTGGAGCAGAGGGGGAGCTGGACGTGTCACGTAGCAAGCGAACAGGACGTCTTTTGTCACTATAGAGGTAGCTGAACGATGATGACCATCACGCGTATCTCCAGAGTAAAATAACCATAACGTGCTGATGAAACGTGAAAAACTATCAGTGTCACCACAATCACACGGGTACTGAGAGAAAATGCCACCGTCACCGTGTTGATGTTTAAAAAGCCGCAAAGCTCGTCATCCATCACCAAATTACACACAGATATCATTTCAAGCGAGCGCATGGAATTACAAGTATTTAATTAATTGTTAAAAAGGGTCACTCTCTTTTTCCAACCTGTGAAAAACAAGAAACATTTTTACGAGACCTATCAGCTGCTGCCTTGTTAATTTCAACGACCATCATAAAGTTGGCAAAAAAAAACATGCATATTTTATACTTCAAACTAGGTCTGGGCCAATTTGCTACAGTGAAGTTTGCCTTTTCAGCTAATATCAATATGCATAACCTCTTGAAGACAGAACGATAACATCTAAAAATAGCCCCTTTAGCTTTATATTCTGAATCAAGGCCATTCAAAGCTGTAAACGGCATGAATGGAAAAGGTGTCAGCTGAAGGCTGCGTACATTCCTACCGGCCTGTTTAGTTGGGCCTGCCATTCCCCTACACCAACTACTCCCTCCCGCCCACGCATACACAAAACCCTCCCATCTGACAGATTTCACACCAAAACTCAGAAGAAGGGGTGACGGGACAAAAACATTGCGATACTAGCCGACAGGTTAGGAAGAAGTGAGAGGCTTTTGACCTATTTTAAAAAATAATAAAATAAAATGCAATGGAACACCCATTTACAATGGCGAGTAAACTGCACCCAAGTCCCTGCTATTTTTCGCCGCTCTCTTCTGGCTGTCATGGTCACATCCCCAAGTATGTGAAACCGCGTCACACGTGAAGTGCGAAATGGGCTCGTAAACCTTACGTTATGGAATTCTGTTACAGGTTACAAGGGAAGGGGGTGTTACCGTAACAGGCAACGGCTGAAGATCCATAGTCTTCTATCCCCATCGGGAGTTTAACGGTGAATTAAATGGTGTCACATCAATGATTTAAAGCGCCGCGCTGACCTAAAGAGAGGAAGTGAGATGAGGAGAGGGGCTGTCGGCCGTCTAGAGGGCGCTCAGGCGCGGCTGTCCTGGGCAATCTTCTCCAGCAGCCCCTCCACCTGCTCCTCCTCTGACCCGCTAGGGGGGGCCTCCAGCATGGTAAGCTGCAGCTTGGCCCACACCTGGGGGTCGCCGCTGCTCACGGCCTGCAGGAAGAGGCCGGTGTGCTCGCGCAGCCGCTCCAGCTGGCCCTGCGTGCGCCGGTTCAGCCGGATCAGCTCCTTGGTGCGCAGCGTGATTCCCAGCAGGCCTGACCGCTGCAGGATGTTGTACGTGTTGCAGAATCGCTTCCGCTTCTCGGTGCCGTCTTCCGGAACGTCCCAGCAGGCCTCGGCGGCCTGGTCCTGGACGGCGGGCCTCTTGCAGGGAGAAACGATGTTGTCCACGCGTCCGGCCTCGGGGCTCGGCGAAGGGGGGGCAGCAGAGGATTGAATCGAGGCTTGTGGCTGTGCGGCTGACGGTGGCTTGGCCAACGCCTGGACACCAGCCTCTTTTATGTCTGCAGCTGCTAGGTTTCGCTTGGGGGCTGCAGGCCCAGGGCTGGCAGCTGCAGGCTTGGCAGAGCCACCACAGTCTGCCACATGGCCTGGCTGCTTGTCACGATGGTGACGCCGGCGGTGGCGCCCGACCCCGTGGCTGGGTGCTGAAACGCTCCGCTCAGAGGAGCTGGGTTTGCTTTTGTCCGACGGGCTTTCTCCAGGGTAGGGGGCGATTTTGGGGTAGGACTTCAGGATGGGCAAGTACCGCCGGGTTCGTTGTTTGTTGGGAGTTCTCTTCGTGGACGATCTGTCACCGGTCGAGACCACCGGCTGGAGGAAGACCACCTGAGGCTGAGGAAGCACTTCCAGGGCAGGCTGAAATCCCCAGGGTTTCACTGCTGGAGCGGTGGCATTAGGCTGGGGGGAGGGGGTCAAATATGAAAAAACACAGAACACCCCTTTGATTATCACCCTTATTCTCTGGAATTGAATATCCCAAAAATCCTACCTGCTTGAGGACAACGTTGTTCATGATGATCATGGGGGACAGGTTGGGGTAGGGGCCCGCCATCACAGCCACCGGGGGCCCCGACTGCGAGCCACGCACAGCTGGCCCCCGGCTCATGTCCTCCGAGTCCGTCTGCTCCACTGCGCTCAGATACCCCGAGCTGGTATCTGTGTGGGACCGAGAAGCCGCAGGTCAGGCCAGCACTAACGTCCGAACAGAAGCTGCATGACGCCGCCGACAGCCACAGATCCTGCCATGGAGGTCAGGAGACAAAGACTCGAGCTGCCCAGAGTATGAATAAAGCTATGAGACAACACTCTGGGACCCGGATATGGGTCAGTTTCCCAGAGCTGCAGGAGCCACATGACACCTCACAGACAAACAGGAAGGTGCTCCGAGTAGCCATGACAGCAGCCCCAGAGCATCCCAAGCCAGGTGCGCAAAAACTTGGAGTTAAACAGTCACAGCAGAGGAAACAGTGACCTAGCTGTGGGCAGAGGCAGAACATTATCACTTTTGTCAGGAAAGGTGCCATTTAAGGGACAGACCTGAAAAGCCACAGTCCTTCTCCGACTCGGACCTGGACGCTGAGAGCTTTCTCATGTCCGCTGTCAGGGCCCTGTGGTTTCCTCCTTTGACTTTGCTGCTCATCTTCAGGTGACTTCACCCTCCTCTTCCTCAGGTGAGCTGCATCTCCCTTGTTTTCAGGGCAAGAAAGCAGATGGATACAGGAAGAAGGGACGGCTAGTGAAGGCCAGAAGCTGGAACACAGAAGAACCAGTCAAAATTTCACATCGTGGTCAGAGTATTAACGATGCAGGGCATAGACAATTTAATATACCTACAAAGTAATAATTTCATCGCTGACAATTTGCTAACTTTCCTGCTACTTCCTGAAATTCACTGTTCAATAAATCCACTTAAGTGAAAAGTTTTAATACTGAACGCGACCTAGCAAGATCTATTTCAATGTCTGCATACAAAAATCGTGGCGCACTGGCTCCCGGGTATAGGGTCCCTTATTAAAACATGTTCCACATTCGCTCACGACCTGCTTTTGAGACGATAATAAGGACAGGAGGCATTTTTCATCTGGCAGAACGGAACTTGCAGGCTGATCTGATCCACACGCATGTATGGCTTCACAGGAAAAGAATAGCACTGAGACAAAATAATAATTTTGAACATTTTATTTCATTAATCGCTACTGAAATAATGACAAATTATGCCTGATGGAAAGCAGATTATTTCTGACATGCAGAGGGGCTGTTCGCTAGCTACAGCCAACCACACAGTCGCAGCCACCCGAGTCTGTTTCATTTAATTTTTACTGCAGACATACAACTACAATCAAACGCATTTTACCACAAAAAGTTAATATAAGCGATCTGTCAAACCAACCGCCAAACTAATTAATTATCATTTAGCCATAAAGAGCTCACCGTCTAATGGCTATGGGGTGTTTGTCTGCCCGATGCCGTCACCTATCCAGCACGTCAGTCCTCTTACACGGTGCAGAACACAGGACAAGAAAGCCACCCACTTAAAAATCCACAGTCACATGCCGGGAAGGGGGGAGGACGAATCTTCTTTAAATGAGGAACTCCGAATTTCTCACTGAGCCATCGGCGCGTTTACTGCGAATCCGAGCGAGGAAGGCTGTCGTTCACACGACTGGTCTCTTCTTTACGTCACGTTTACGACGCTGTTCGGCGGTTTACGGCGCCGCCGAGCAAGTCGTTACCGAGGCAACTGTCAAGAGGACTTTCAGCTTTACGTGAAGAGCCCACCCATTGCGCTTTTTGGCTTCTCCGATTGGTGGCGGACCTCAACATTGAGTCAGAAAACGTGACCTACTCGACAACAGAGCAGTTAAAGGGAGCATAGTGTTCTAACGTGAGATGGGAGTGCCTTACACATGTGCTACTTATGTAATACGGTATATGATTAGCTAAGAACTTGAATAGTTTGCCAAGTAAAAGGAAAAAACATTACTACCAAATGAGTGGTTACGTAATTGCCCTGGCAGTGCAAGAAAGCCTTTATTTGTTTACCCAGAAGTAGTTTACCTTTAAGATTTAAATTATATGCTACTGTGCAATTGATAATATGTAACTATATATAAAAGCGTAGGAGTTATTTTAATTTAGAGGATTTGGACATGCATGAGGAAAAATCATTTTAAATGTGCAAATATAATTTTATGACTTTGCTATTTTAAGCATTTTCATTATGCTGAACACCACTCTCCATCAGCATTTTTGTTGAGGTATTTCCATTCTACTTGGATTTAGAAACCGTGGGGACTGCAGGTCTTGCGAACTCAGAGTTGGGACACACTCTTTGGTGCTCCTTTTAAAGTGGTGAAAACAAAGGGTGCTGTGTGGGAAAACATTAAAACATTTTGTCGATCTGGTGGTACTGAGCAACATGCACATATTGAATGAGGCGGACGCAGCATTCTATATCACTGGAATGTTAAAAATGAGTTTAATACAGAGTAAGGGTGAATAGACCACTCTAAGCCTAGAGACTTGGATATGAGATGGATGAATCCTGTACCTGTACTGAATCATTATCATGACCATGTTATCAGTAAGCTGTCATGTGGAGGCAAGGGTGTAATCTTGGGTTGAACATTGCAGGAATTGCGGTCTCCACTCTTTGTGTGATTATTTTGGCTTGAATTGGCCGGTTTTGATTACTTGGAGAGGTTACAATCCCCCATCTCCCAGTAATTTATGCCCTTGTATGGAGGCTACAGGGCCAGTAGCCAAAATGCTGGTGTATCACTCATCTTGGCCTATACCGATTGCTGGTTCAAACTAACTTGCATGGGTACTGCCTGTCTTTCATGTTTTGTTCAAAACAACCAATCAATTAATTCTTAAAATAAATAAATTAAAACTAAGATCACTGGGATCACTTAGATATTTGTCAGATGTATGACACATCTCCTTGCTGTGTTCAAAGACATGGGTCACAAAGACTCTATTAAATATAATGCTTTCTTTATTAACAGTAATACATTTATTTATATATATACATGTACAATATACATTATACACAAGACTTACAAACTTTCCTGCATCATATGTTGGCACACATTTACAATCGTTCTTTACATTGAGACATATGTTGTGAGTGAAAGGAAACTGAAAAGAAAATCCCACTGTTCATGAAATGTAGCCAGTGAATTGAAAGGAAGACTTATATAAGATACCCTGTCTGCATCTGTGTCAGAAGAGTCCCTTGCGCTTGTGAATAGTCCCCATTTTTTCATAAAACGTCGCTTGACTTAGCAAATAGGGAGATTTTCTTCTAGGAATAAGAAGTTAATGCTAATTATAGTATAGTATACAAGGCCACAACTCCCACCCTGTAACTGTAATTGGTGACTTCAAATAAAAATATAAGGCAGGTGATACCTACCCGTGTCGATTCATAAATACCAAAATGCCTAAAACAGTGAAATGTGTGATAATATGCTACCCAAAAAGGACATGAAAACACTCAACTTTCATTGGAAAATGACAAAGAATTAGAGGAACTGTAAACTGGATACCATTTTTTGTCAGTATTTCACAATATTGTTCTATTAGTCTAGAACCTTTTCAAATGGGCAATATTTTTTATTTCAGTTGGTGTGCAAATTCATTATTAACATTGTTATTTTCCATTGTAGTTCTTTGGGAAAATACACTGCCAGGCCAAAAAAAAAAAAAGTCGTCATTTGAATTTTTCGTTGGACCGCCTTTAGCTTTGATTATGGTGCACATTTGTCATGGCATCGTTTCCACAAGCTTACGCAACATCTCACCCTTTATTTTCATCCAGATTTGCATTCATTTTTTCACTGAGATCCTGTATTGACAAGTGAGTTGAACCTCCATAAAGCCTTCATCACATCCCAGAGACCTTCAATGAAGTTAAGGTCACAACTCTGTGGTGACCAAGTCACACGTGAAAATGATTCCTCATGCTCCCTGAACCACTCTTTGACAATTTAAACCCATTGAATCTTGGCATTCTTGTCCTGGAATATGCCCATGCCAACAGGGAGGAAAAAAATCCATTGATAATGGATGGAGGTGTAACCTGGCCATTCAGTAGATTCAGGTACTCAGCTGACTTCACTTTATTGCTGCATAACGTTGCTGAGCTGTAATAATGATCCAGTTATTGGCTCTTAAGTATTTGCTGATATAAATTCAAATTGTGACCTTTTTTTTTGGCCGGGCAGTGTATGTTTGGATTGAAAACGATACTTAAAAGCAGTTTATAGAATAAACAGAAACAGACAATATTTAACAAGGTATTCCATTGTGCTTCACATTTTAAAAGTCTACCTTGTAAATATTTCATTACAATTCTGTAATTTAAATTTTTGTACATAAAGTTTTTTTTAGGACTTGCATAATCTTGTACACTGAAAGTTGACGTATTCAAAAATTCCAACTTGGCGTTATACTGTATCACGGCCACTAGATAGAGCAATACGTCCGTGATTTGGAAAAAGAAGACATTAAATCCAAGACGCATAAAATAATTTGTTATTCTTTCTCTAACTGTTTAAGATGCATTGCAACGGACGCATAAGATCGCCACTGTTCATCTCCTTAGAAAGCTTACAGGAGCAAATATTCCTTTAAGTTTCTTTAAGGTCCTTATTTCCCTTAAATAAGTTCTCTATTCCTCCTTCTAACAAGGAGAATACTATACAGTACGCTGTTAAAACCGTTTAAATCATGGTCTGCGTTAAAACCTTTGTCTGTTTTTTGTAATAAATACTGGCTGAAGTCAGATCAATGATGATGATGATAATGATGATAATCATAATAATAATAATAATAATAATATGAAAAACATATATCACCGTCCTCTGGATTACTGTTTCAATCTCCAGTGTCGAGCTTCGTCCTTCATCTTGCTCGTCCGCTTCACGATCCGCTCAGCTGTTGTAAAAGTCGCTCCCCCGGCCGCCGGCCGCCATGCCTCCCTGTTCCCGCGCAGCTCGCGAGCCGCTTGCGGCGATGGCGACCCCGCCGCTTCAGTCCCAGGTGCCGAGCGACACGATATCCGGAAAAGTGCTTAGAAGACCGCCGAGGGGAGATAAATACAGGTGGAGGTCGCCGTGGGGGCAGGACTGCAGTTACCTGCGTGGAGGCTGACACCTAAGAGATAAAAAAAAATGGACAAACTTTAACAGGAACGTACAGCATAATGTGTAGGTTTTACCAAATTCCTTTTGGAATTAAGTATTCACAATGTAAATTCATTTACGTTGCCACCTCAGATTTTACATTTCCTAGCGGCTATCCAAGCTTTTTAGTTGTAAAAAGGCCGAAATCCGAGATGAAAGGCCCTGCCTCACCACAGCCCCCTGCTGCAGCTCGCCGTTTCCTTTATCGTCATTTCTCTAGCTTTTCCCTTAAAGAGTAAGTGAATTCTCTTGTTCGCATTATTTTACTCAACCAGCAGTCATTGTGTTTTTAAAAAAGTTTTTACTTTTTCATACACATACTGTATCACCAGGGTTGCCAACTTCGGTCAGCTGGCTGGCGTGAGATTTTCAATTCGAGACGAGTCTGCCCACATATGCAAACGCATTTACATATACAGTATGTAACAGTTTTATTAACTTGTAAATAATGTATAGGTTTGCAAACTACGGAAAAGGATTAGGGCCACCATTTAATGTCAGAATTCAAATAATATTTTCATGGTGGCCCTAATCCTCTTCCGTAGCAAACAGCCCCAGCACTTTTGATGTAGCTAATTTTAGGTTGAAAATGGAATAATATGAATTTGCCGTAAGATTTCTTGCGTGAAAGTCTGAAAGCGTGAGTGTCACGCCAGATGTGTGAGTTGGCAGCCCTGTATCATAATAGCGTATCATTATTTCATACTGATATGCGAACGGGAAAAGGTCTATTTTTAAGGAACAAATAAGATATGTAAATCTGGGGAGGTGTATATGTGTTTCTATTTCATCAATATACAGTACACTTTCAAGTTTGAAGCCCCCCCCCCCACAAAAAAAAACAAACAAAAAATAATAACTAGGAATCCTACTGAACTCCACAGTAAGCTGGATATTTAAGCTGATATTCCTCTTACATGACATTCAGAAGCCTGACTTTTTTGCTTCCCTCTCTTTGCCTTACAGCAGGGGTATCAAACAAATTTCAGTTAAGAAGCCACTCTGGCCCTCAGATCCGTTAACAACACCTTGCCAATTGTTAAAAGGAGGGTATCAAGGTACATTTTGAATGGCCAAACAGGTTGACCATAAATTACCTGCAAATGACGAAAAGTCTGCAGTGCCTTATGAAAATGTCCACTTTCCAAAGTATTGGTGGTTTCCATTTACATTTATTTATTTTGTCCTAAATGATGTATTAGTGAGAGCTTGGGGTCAGAGGGTGGGGTCATTCAGCATCTAGTGTCCCAGGGGCAAAGGGTGTTACAGGCCCAGCGTTCACATGATTTCTCTGCCAGCAGTTTCTTCGGTCCCACCAGCAATTCATTAATTTTGCTTGTTTTCGGTTGCCATTGCAAGCAGTTTTATTTTTTCAGCATGTGAATATGCTGTTCCTTCAGCACAGTACTGCACCTCAAGTGGAAAAACTAAGAAGAGCAGATCAGAAGAAGATTTAAATAATCTTGCAGGCGGAATTAGAATCTTTATTTGACAACCCATCCCTACAACTTTTATACCATTGTTCCTTTGATGTGGATTTTGGGAGGAGTATTGATGGTCAGGGTGCTTTTTAAAGTGTTTTTCTTAGCCTGAATGTCATTTAACAACATTGCTTTTCACTTTCTGCTAAAAATAACCCATAGGGAAACTTCTTGAAACCAACGGTTAGCCTGACACTCACGTATCACAATCCTTCGGCCTCTGTTTGTCCTTCCTCTTCCTCCCTCTCCCTTTCTGCCTCCGTCTGCATGGTGGAAAAGATTTGCAATGCACACAATGGTGAAACAGGCACACAAACATTGCACACATTATACTGCTTATAGTAATTGTGGACAAGAGTTTGCTTACCTTCCATTTCTCAGCAGTTTTTTGGGTCTGTGGACATTAAGAAAACACATTATTAAAGTGAGAAATTGCCCAACGCAAATTCTGCAGGAATACATAAATTATACTAAGAATTAGTATGAAAGAAGAATCCATAAAATATACTGCGAGGCTATAATGTAAACAAAAAGGCAACATATATATTAATTAATATTGCATATCCTTTGAGATATGTCCTTTTAATACAGCATTAGTTACAAAAATAAGAGGGATGTTTTCATACACACAATGAAGATAATGCACAGTTAGCTTTAAATACCATAATCATAAAATGTTTGACTTATGACCCTGTAGTGGACAAGTGATGGGTAGGCAGATGGGTAGATAAAGTGTTTAAAGTTAAACAGTACAGCTGCACGCTCTAATATGGATGCAAACATTCTGTATACATCTCGCGTTCCCGCAGAGGCTTGAAAAACACAGGGAGATGAGCCTTTTTTCTCTTACCTACATTCACATGCTTTATGCTCCACAAAAGTCATGTCTACATATTCTCTGTCTCCTTCTGCTGGCTTGATCTTCAGCAGCTGACAAGGGTAGGGGAGAGATTTTCATCAAACCCCGAAAAACAGCAGACTAATGAGCATTCGTTTAATTGTTTGGAAGGATAGGGATGTTCAAATTAGGCTCCATCCATCCTCTGGCTGCTCTTGAGCAGGATGAATGGACAAAACTTCGATAAAAGGGTAAGGGTGATGCTGCCAAAATGCTTGGGGTCCTTCTTACGTAAAGTTTTATGACCATCCCATGTAATATGGCCCTGTACTCTGTGGACATAGCGGCTTACCTGCATGGTGACGTTGCTGGTGTCTGTGGGCCGGCACTCCAGGTTCTCGTCGCCACAGCAGCCAGCACAGCGCACAAGGGGCACACAGGAGGGGCTGAAGATGTGCTCCACCTCCCCGGGATATTCCTGTACCACCTCCACCAGCTTTTCGATAGTGCGACAGAAGCTGCGCTCCCACACGTCTTGGAACGACACCACTGAAACAACAGCGGGCGGCATAGTTGTCACTCAAACTGCTGTGACCAGAGAGATCTGGGATCTGCACGTAGGCCTTCAGGTCATGTGATGGGATTAAGGGTCTTTCCTCATGTTAAAAAACTTGTCCTCTCACGTCATGATCTGCAGGTTTGCACACAATGACATTAACAGCCTGATCGCTCAAGTTGCATGGCTCCAGGGTAACAAAAACACATTTTTTCCCACACACTGCTGGGCTGAGCAGTCGTATAACAATGCACCACTGACGTTCTACACCCCTGTCAGGAATGAATGAGTGTAAAGCAGACCTGTGCGACTGAAACACAAAGGTTTAGGAAAAAGGCAGCTGTAAGGTCATGGTCAGTCCCAGTGAAAGGTGTTTGTGAAATGTTTCCACTAGGATTAACACTGTGTGGAAACAAACAGCATATTCAACAGGGGCCCAGCAAACAGAGGAAGGAATGAGAAAACAACCTTTATGGATGTAATCACCATGATCTCCTTCGGCTCATTATAAGAAAAGCTGGGAATCGGCGACAGGCAGGCCAGACTGGAGAAGGTGGCAGTCGGGGGGGAGATTTGGAGACTCAAATAGTCTGATCTCCTGCAAGGGTCCCTCCTGGTGTCTCTGACAGCATCTTGTCTAAGATCTGGTTTCCCTTATCTAATGCATTGCTAAATGTGACCATATATTTTAACTGCATTCCAGTGCTCTTAATAGCTTGAAATTCCTGATGGGGCTACTCTTGTAGTCAGTCTGCAGATGAGTGGTTCTGCTTTGTATAAACCTAAGCTAACCTCAACCTGTCCTCGTTTGCCTTGCCCTGAAACCTTACTTTCGGACCATAGCACCCCCCCCCTCCCATACAATTGCTATCAGCAATTTGAGAACAATTTGTTTTTATATTTTTTTTCAGACCAGCTGTCTTGATTTATTTTTGAAGCACTGTGTGGCTTTGATTAAACATCAGAGGTTAGAACAAGCCACACGGTGCACCCTGTGTAGGTTTGGCAGTCCCCTCTTGTACGGGGAACCTTTTGACTTTCATCCCCGATTTACAGCATGCTGTTCTCCATGCAAATTCCAGATCTTATGTTCCCACAGCTTGAAGAGAAACACTTCCACCAACAGCCTAGGGGAAGGCGGATCATTCTGATGTGAAAAACAGGCGGCTTGTTTTCAAAGATGGACCATCTCACTGCTCTTCAGGAACCTATCCCTGCCATGCTGTCGTGCCCTGAACAAGGTCTCTTAAAATTAGCTTTAATGCAATCTGATATACCTTACTGGATGATGTATCATTCATATTTCTGCTGCTAAATTTGGCAGTGTTGGGAATTCCATTTTTAATACAGCAATTGGGGTGTGTCCATAGGTTTTCATTTAATTTGTTACTCAAGACTGTGATATGTACAGTTTTCAAGATGTTTCTTACCTTCAAATGTGCTGTTGGCACCGGACAGAAAACTCTGAAACTGAAGAAAGAAAACGTGGTCAAAGACACTTTAATAGAATTCCACGACAATGGCTTTTCAATAAAAGAAAACGTTAGTGTACAGATTATGGAACTAGATTTGCTATTTGTGTGTGTGTGTGTGTGTGTGTGTGAGCGGGTATACCTATCCTTATGGGGACACAATGTCCCCATAACGTGATAAATATCTGTTTTTTGGAAAACTCTATTTTATGAAAATCGGTGACTACTATGAAAAAACTAAAAATGCAAAAACTCATGTATTTTGCTTGGTTACTTATGGTTATGGTTAGGGCAGGGTGGGGGTTAAAGTTGTCATAGTTAGCGTTAGCATTTTTCCCATAGAAGTGAATGAGAGGGCCCCATAAGGATAGGTATACCTGATGTGTGTGTGTGTGTGTGTGTGTGTGATTTGGTTGAGAGTATCAATATTGATGGTAATGATACCCTAATATGATGCAATGCAATACAGCCCTCTTGTGACAGAAAATGGGACCACAGCAAGCAAAATCCAGACATGAAGTTGTCTGGCCCACAAAACTGGAGTCTGGGAAGGGTTTCCAAGAAGTGCCAGATTTAGGGTAGGTCATTTATTAATTGTATTCCCATGTGCCAAACTGCTTCCTACACTACAGTTTCTACTGTTTACTTTGCCATTGCCCTTTTTCCTCTCTTCTATATTTCTTGTGATAAAAATGATTATTTCCCCATTCGGCTGGAAAAAAATCTGTAACACAGGACAGCCATGAGCTAAGTACGGGAAATCTCCTCTTAGCAAAATAGTACATGTGAGGCCCCTGTGGCATCTTGCCAGCTAAAGAGTGAGTGACCTGCTTCCCTGAAATTTCATGCCTTTGCCAGGAGGCTGTCCTCATACTTGTAGACCCTCTTAATGATGCATGCTGCCTATGATTTGTCTTCCCCTCCCCATATCCCTCCAGTCAGGTTTGATGGAGTATTCTGATGGGTGGGGCTGTTGGCTGGGTGGGTGTGTCATGGACAAGACTGTCTGACTCAATGCATTTGGAGTCCCACACTGAGCCAGCAAGTCTGGCTATGGGTGTAGAAAAGGCAGCCATAACAAACTATGCAACATTTGGTTGAAATTCCACTGACAGATCTTTGCTGCATCCTTCTGGCAGTAGTTGCACTGGAAACGCAGTCATCTTTTCCTGCTTGCAGCATGATGCATCACATAGGAAAAAACCCATGGCCTGACGCCCCCACTGAAGCCACGCATTTCACAGAGATAAGCGGAACAAGCCATGTCACTGTTCTTCCTGGGGGAGGGGTTGAGCAGGCGTGTGGCAGAATGGCCACTGGGGAATTCGTAGAAGCCACAGGGACCTCAGAGATCTGGCCATTATCTGTGGAATGTAGGGAGACTCCCTGGGACAGATGGAAGGGGCAGGCTGATCAGCTGAGAGAGTTTGTTAGTCTTCAGACTCCTGTTCTCCTCTGACATCAAATTATACCACATGGCACAGAGACCAGCAGTTAAATTTCTCCTCCGTCACTAGAATGGGAGTAACCTCAGTCATGACTGCCAGACCTTGTATAGACACACTTATAAGCATAAACATTAATGTACATGAACTGCCCAAAGAATGACAATGACTGGCTATTCGTGAGAAGGCATGGAGCATTCCTATGAGTTTGTGACTCTTTACATTTGACTCCACACATACTGTAGGTCTCTGGTTCTGTGTTTTGCTAGTGTGGGGTGTTTTAAAACTGCAAACTTCCTCATATTGCAAAAATCATAAACGTCTTTTCTCGACATGGAGGCTGTCGCATGTGACATGGCTGCTGTCATCACTGCCTGGCTCCTTTTACAGGGTGTTGTTGAGGCTGCTGACTGCCTCCAAAACTTGGCAGTGAGGCTGGACAGCGTGGGGAACCTCACGTAGCCACTCCTGGCCCCTCCTGCTACCTTGCCTCTTGACAGGCCTGGTTTTCTCTTCACCTCAGGCGTGCAAGGATGGGGGGGCAGAAGGGAGAGACTCAGGGTACAGAGGCACAGAAAGAAGGAGGAAGGCAGTGAGGGAGGAGGAGAGCGACTCGAGCTTCAGTAACTTTACTGTCAGTGCCAGTAACCGCAAGTTGGTGACGTTACTGGTTTTCTTGTGAATTACTGGATGTTCTCAGCATTCTCAGTCCACAATGCATACAAGGCCCTCTTAGGCCCAGTAACATTGCATTGTAAGCATACCCCAAGACAGCCATTTTTCAAGGACAATACTTGTAGACCTTTCATGAATATTTTGGTATTTGGGGGGGGGGGGGTGTGATTTTTGAAAAGCGCTAAAGAATAGTGTTTAACTGAAGTTTTCTTTTAATCTTTATGAACCTTGTATAATTTGTGCTGCCTAAAATTAAAGGTTTAGACAATGAGGTGGGCCTCACAGACTGAGCTATATCAGTTATGGTGATCAATTCCATCTGCTTTTGTTTTCATCTCGGCAGAGTCTGATCACTGAAGACTTTCTGTAGTGAAACCTCTATCCACCCCTTGCCCCAAGTCCAGGATTGGGGCTCATCCTGTCCCCACATTCCCAGTGCTCTGGACACTCTCTCTTAAATCCCCCTTGACCAAACCACGTCAGGCTTAATCTCTTATAATCGCTTCTTCTGTGGGATGCAGGGCAGGAAGTTTCATGACAAGAATGAAAAAAGCCAAAAAAAACAAAAGCCAAACAATACAGTCTAGTCATATTTGTTTCAAGTAGTGCCTCAATAAGCCTCATAAATGCCAACAATTCAGTCGGTGGCCTTCTGCTGTTTTGGAATATGACCTACATCACCAGGCTCTAATTCAGTTCCGGGCCGGTTCTGTGATTTGCTCCCACTCGTTCCTCACTTAACTGGAGTCTGTTTAGTACTTTATTCATCTGTTGCGTTTATAAATATGTGTTTCCTGATAAACATTACATTGAAATGTGCACAGAAATGAGTGAGCGTAATGCTATATGTACTTAAAGATGTAGTTCACTATTTTAAAAAAAGGTCTACAAAATATGCTCTTACAGTATTGCAGCAACAATTTTTATAACAAACTGAATTAATGGTCCCTGATGAAACAGTATTTTTTTCTCTTTTACTTTTTTCTGATATTAGAGTGTCCTGGTCGCTGTTTATATTTCGCTCTCTTTCTCCCAGTCTGGCCCTCCATGCTTTACTGTGTGAGAGGGAAACAGATGAAAAACAGACAAACTAGAATATTTCAACTATTTCTGTGGCTAGAAGAGCTTGAACCACTGGTTTGCACAATGTAAATTGATTAAATGCAGGGACATGCATCGCTTTTGCTTGAATTTGGGAGCCAGGATGTACACTACTTGGACAACATAATGTTCAGAAAGTTGAATTTATGGGTTCAATCACTGAAATCTCAAGATAGGATATTATAAATGTTAACATAACAGAGGTGTTTACCTTTCCTATAATATTTAGGTAGGAAGAGCAGCAGGGATAAGAGGTAATGGAATGTTACACGCACCAAAAGGTTACAATGATGTTCTCTTGGGTAAGGTATTGTAAAATCTAGTCACGTTCCTTTAAAATTTGTATACTCTACAGCATACAGTATAAGCCACTGAATGAAAGGTCCTAACTTTGCCTGGTATGGATGTATTGGAAATGGTGATTTCCAGATGTGACCCAACTGGTTTCTTAGGGATATGTGGGAGAGTGGCACTTTAGTGTTTAAGATGTTTTATATATTGTGATTGTGTAATCTCAGTCATCTTGTTTTGTACAATCAAGTTTATGTTAATCTTTTCTGATTATAATGTTAATCCCTCATTCATTACTGTATACTGGATAAACATTTGGGAAGTAGGTTTAAGAATGGATGAATGATGTCAATGTTTGTCACAACCATGCAGCATAGATGGCACTGTGGAACAGAGAGAAGGGCGTTATTAATCAATCAAGTAATAATTGTGCCTGCCTGAGTATTGAGATGATCTTTATTATGAACTAGTTGTGCAGTGCAAGCTGTGGTTCAGTGGTCCAGTGCCAGTATAACAAATGCTATATTAAATGTTTCATATTAATGTAAAATACAGTAATATATTAAATTAGGATTTAAATAGAGTAAAACCCAATCCTTTGTATGTATGACACTGAACTCAAGATCACACATAGATAAACATGAGCTGCCAGGGAGCATCCTTAGATCTGTGTAGTCACACAAACATACAAAGAACCTGGTGTCCCTCCAACCAAATCTAAAGTCAATGAATTACAATAATATTATTGTGCATCAGCCTATCACAGGGACTGAACACACTACATCCCCCTCACAGCAGGCAAACAGCAAGCTGCAAGGGCCCAAGTTGATCCCCCAGGGGTGCCAACATAGTAACTGGACAAGATGCCCTGGTGGTATAAACCGACTTTACCCCTTTACGGGCTGAAACTGCACTCCTGGCAGTGAGTCCTCCCAGCATTGCATCTGGACAAGCCACTTGGGAGTCCAGTGCTCAACACTCTTCTGGCTTGTTTTCACAGTTTATGATGGTTAACAAGGGCTGTGGCATGACAGGGTAAAGCCATGGCATGTTGCAAATGGTAGTAATAAGGAAACTAGCAACCACATGTGAGTGAAAGAACATGAAGCAGTTTACTGCCTGGAAGAAGCTTGAAGGTAACGGGCAGCTAAAAATAATGTGGGCCATGAGAAACGGAATAAATGACCTTCCAATCCATAGTAGCCTATCAGCAAATGTCCTGGAATTCGTAAGAGAAATTTGTGATTGCTACAGGATCACTGGTTTAGACAATCAACTAGTGTTTTTTGCCTGTCTTGCTGTTGACTCCACAGACCTAAATTCTAGGATGGATGATGGTGTAGAATATTTCTGAGGTCATTCTGAGGGCTATACTTCTTACGCTTATAGATGTGCCACCTGCTGGCACAAGAGCTGCAGATCTGCCCAGCAAGTTCTTCTCACCAGCTTTGGTATTTTGATTAAACTTCAGTCACAGGTCACATACCACTAATACGTTTCATACACCTGAGGAGATTCACAAAATGCAACATTCAGACTAAAATTCAGTTTGAGAACTGTTGATTTTAGAAACATTTGTATTTGAGTCCATAAAACTCAGTTCGTTATGCTGCTTGGAGTTGCACTGTGTTTATGTTTCGCAAAACAATATGTGACAAATAATGGGTTGTGGTATGGTTTTTCATAAGTCTTTTTCTCAACCTTTTATTGACTTACCTACAAGGGACACAGCTAGTAATTGAACTGTGACAGAATTCTCTGAGAATTATTTTTTCTTGTATCTATTCCCAATACATCCTGGAGTCAGGTGATATCGCCATTCATTACCATAGTTTTGGATGAATCATTCTGTGACTCTAACTAACAAAGGAAAGCGCAGTACTTGAGGTTCACGGAAAACAACGTGGTCCACAAGACAGTACACTTCAGAGCAAGATCGTTTGCTATAGGCTCCTCTGCCCATACTCTCAGAGTCTTTGAATCTTAAACAAAGCCAAAGAACGCATCTAAGGAACCTACTGCCATTTTGCTTTGACATGTTCACTGAAGTACTGTATGTGTCCTCCATCATGTCGATGTGACCCAGAGGTTCAAGAACGCAATTTGAGCAGGAAATACAAGGAAAGTTATGGATATTTCTGAGGTCTCATACGGGCCATGTTCTGGATGCTGTTTTTGGGCAGTTGGACCCAGCTGGGGCCTGGTCTACTGGAGAGTTATGGGAAAAGCTGTAATGTGGGGGTTACGTTGGATAAAAGCTCACGTCCAGTGACACTGCATGAAGCCAGAGAGCTGGCGTACTCTATTGGCCCTCAGAGGGGACATTGAGTTTCTGGAATTGATGCACCCAAATGGAAACAGCCTAACGTGTCCTACTTCCTTGGTTGATATCTTTCCATACAGATGGCCTGTCTTTGGTGATACGATATGAGCAAACTCTTAGAGATCTTGTAGTACAATCTGTGTCACTGTAACATCATATTCCTGCATCCAGTAACTTCAGAAATTATCAATTGGTCATGGGATAAATTTTTTGCAAGCCCGTGTTTGGCACACTTAGTTTAATGAGAAGGCTGTATCCTGTTTTTTGTGAAGTCAGCAAATGCAGGCCTCGTGACTGGGGGCACCGGGCCAATATGACAGGGTGCAGCTGTGGTTTCATTCTGGACACAGAGGGGTCAGAACAGGGTCTGGAATGATGGAGCTCTTAAAGAATAACGACTCCTAACAGGAATATCCCCAAATCTTTTCAGTGGCCTGACATAACTTGTTTCCAGAGTCTTCAAATTTCCAGGCAAATAACAGAGTTAAAGGAAACAGGGAGTGTTTTATTGCAAGTCGCAAAACTGTGGGACCATCAGCCACTTTTTTGCACCCTGTCTTTATGCACTTCTGCAAGGTCCTGTCTGGAGCAGGGAGAATAGGTTGGCTTTTCTAAAGACATTTTCTAACTTGTACCCTCTGTAAATGTCCATCTCCTTTCCAGGAAATCTGAACATCTAATAAATGGTGCTTGATGAGATTTCATGTTCTAATTCCAGGAAGGGTGCATTTAGCAGCAGAGTTTTCAACTGGTTAAATGTAGTTATCATAATCTGTGATTTTTTTTTTGTAATAATACTCTGCTCTTTGCAACCTGTATGTACAAATAAAAGCAACTGCACCGGTCTATTTCAATTTGTTAAATGCTGCTTTAGCTCTTAGAAGTCATTTCCCTTGATGCATACACAAATCCTCAGATAAGGCTAGCCTAATTGTCGTCCCTATTACACTAAATGCTGTGCTCCCCGTGTAAACCACACTAAATTACCACCAGATGGGAGATTAAGGCCTTGCAGAGGAGATGTCGGCTCCAAGCGACGCTCCTCCCGAAGGGGAAGAAAAATTCATATTTCCTGATTGCAATTGCACCCTCTCCCTTGGGACGGAGCATTATAGTGCGTAAAAAAAAAAAGGAGCAGTGCTGTCATCACAACGACCACAGGGTCTCCATCACAGATTTGAAACAGCAGCTGAGGGCTTCCACAAGAGCAGCACATCACTTTGAATCTAGGTAAAATGCATATGGACAAACAGCGCTGCTGACATTGCCCAGTTTCCCCCGAGTTGCCTCTGGCCCCCAAAAGCCATTCTTTTAGGGCAATTGCCACAACGATGGCTTTGTCCTGATACTCAGATCAGATCTTAGATCCTCTGCATCTGGCCTTATACCAGGTCCTATTCAGAAGAAACCTCAAAGCCCAAACACAAAGCCACTCTTCATGCTTATTCTGCGGATACAACATATGCTGCAGAGAGAAGTAGCCCGATGTGAGCATCGAAGCCACAGGTGGCAAACCTCAAGGTAGATAGGCAGCAGTTATTTTTCACGCACAAGTGTCTCAAGTTTGGACACAGCCTGGTTGTGATACCTGGGGACCTTGAATGGGAAGCATAAACATCAGTTGCATATGGCAGGGAATTACATGACACAGGGTTCCAAGACAGTTAGGAAGCCTGTTGAGACCAATCACAGGAGAGAGGCAGAAACGGGGTTGGGGAAGGAGTGGTGGGGGATTGATGCAGGTTTGGACAGCTTGTTGTCTAAGATCAACTGTCACTACTTTTACCTGACACCTCCTCTATTTACTTTGCTAGCTGCCATGCTATCCCCTAGGCTACCAGTTGTAACTCTCTGAGACCATATTGGATAATTACACAGTCATATTTTACTACAGTGTTGATGTAAAGTAAGCACCTGTACTAAATCATCTCTTTACTCGAGGATAATGACATCACACCACTCTGGTTGCTGCTCTCCATTCTGCCTTAGACTCAGGGACACATCTCATAAGGAATCACCTTCATTAAGCATTGAACAGTAGAGCAAAGCCCATAAAAGGTCAATTTATGGGCTGATAGGGATGGCGGAATTAGATCATATAAGTACTGATATGAATTGGAATTTCGGTACTGTGTGATGTAACTGAGCTGCAGTCGAGCACAGCTGTCATTGAAACCATAACACAACTAGATTTGCATTGTCTTAATTGCTGCTGTTTGTATAGTGATTCCTTTTGGATTTTGTTTTAAATCTTCAATTTTAGAACTGTGATGGTGAAATGACTATCACTACATGAGAGAATGTCAGACAGTTAGGGGGAAATAAATTGTCCCTTGTATTCCGGTTTGACCTCAAGGTATGATCAGCATTGAGGTGACAGTTACAGGTCCTTGAGTGCCGGTTAGAGGCACAGACAGCCGACATGACTACAGACAGGATACTGGCCTCGATAGCGGCATCAGTCATGCAGTGGTTATGTCAACAGCTGCCAAGTGGCACAACACCTCTGCTCCCAAGGCAGGAAGCAGCTAAGAATACGCTGAATAGGAAGCCAGAAAATAACTGAAGCCAAAATCGGTAGGAGGGGCACCTGTTGAGTGGGGGAATAGACCATGAAGTCTAGTCATGCCCAACAGGACGTGAAAACCATCATGAGTGTCCATTGTTCTAGCAAGAAAAGCAGGTGCTTCCTCAAAAATGAGGCCATCAGGGCTAATGACCGGCTGAGGCCACCTCCACCGAGAGTAACGGCAGCCGCAGGTGTGGGGGCCCAAACCAGTTGACCGGCAAACATGACGTATGCTGCAGGAAACTCAAAGAAAAAAAAAAACACCTGCAAATAAATAAAGATGGAAAATCATAATCGCTGAAGGAAGGAAACATGGTGGGTCCAGTCAGGCCAGATACTATAAACAGGACCAGGCAAACAGCCTGGAATGGCTGCTGGAGCTCTGGGCAACTCAGCAAGAGGCATCCAAGCCCGAACTACCTACAAACGTAAGGAACGAACACAGCACTTATCCAAGGCCTCACCCTGTTCTGTCACTCAAGGTGATCGGATGTCCTCATCAACGACAAATGATCCCCTCCCTCCTTTAACACTCTGTCTCAGAAAAGCGCCCCTCGAACGGCACGATCCATGTGTGCTTTTCCGCCCCGTTTAGCCCTCTGTGATGGATGACCTGAGTGTAGACGAGCAGATGCCCAGAGTCTAGGCTTTTTTCTTGATTTCAGCTTCGGGCTGCACCAGATGGAGCTACTGCACATTGTGCACAAATGTAAGCCTTTAATCATTTTTTAGCAATCTAGTAATGCAAGACGGACCTTTAACTTATAAAGGTAAAGGTGAGATACCATGTTTCAACAATTTTAATTACTTATTTGGTAAATGACTAAACATACTGGTATAATGACATACATATTAGAACCAGCCAGCTAACACCTTAGACTGAAATAATTGATCCAGAAAGGCTCCAATGGCATAAAAGGATATATGACAGCAACAGTTTAACTGATGGTGCGGACCGGTGAATGAGGAGAAAACTAGTGGGAACTGTGGACCACTGAGAAATTAGCTTCTCCATTGGTTGGTCAGTGACCCACAATGGTCTGACACCTCTCTCTCCACATGCCTGCTGAGGGACAATGCTCTGTCCAGTGGGTAGCATAAGTATCAGGCCACACCCTGGCTCCACAGACATGCGCTCATCTGCCCTCGTCTTACGCAAACGAGAACATCTGCTCTTACCACTGGGAGCTTGTTCTTTAATACTGTGCTTGTCCTATTTTGTGGATGTGGGATTTACTTGCAAGTGTGATGAGATAGGAAGAGACAGGAAAGCAACAGGGAAGGAGGCTGCAAGGACTAGGGGAAAAAACCCATCTTTACTCCCAGAGACTAGTGTAAAAATGGCCTTTTGAACAAATATCATGCAATTCCCACATGTGAGCCAGCAGAGAAATTGAGCAAAAAACATGAAAACTTGAATTTTAAACTGGTGATATACACACACAACCAGATTTCCATGACTTGCCTAGTTTTTCTTTTTTTAGAACTGCACTTGAACAGAAGTGTGACGAGAAATGTCCAGATGAATCAGCTAAGAGCTAATTGCTATCTTGCCTTGGCTGGGAGCCCGCTCTTGCCTCTACTGACTCTGGCTGAACAATAGAGTTGCTGCGCCCTTTCATTGAGATTGTGGACAAGAAGCTCAATAGGATTGATGGACTCTTCTATTCCTGAGGCCATAGGTTTGAACTGTGCTGTTCATGCTCCATACTCATTCTAACCCTATTGGAGAGAGGACCAACCATTGCTCTCAATCCATTTGGCAGACGGCCCTTCTATGAACTGTCAGACAATGGGAATGAATGAGGTTAGAGGCAGCTGCGTCTTGCATTAAACATGAGAAGCAGAGGCAGACGGCATGTAACTCGGTGCCGGCCCTGCTAAAAAGTTACACTGAATGGGTGTTTGAAGCAGCAGGCGGCGTGGTTGAAAGCCACCAGTGCTTGGTGGCAATTTCTTTGCAAATTCTGAGGGTGAGAGGCATGGCGGTGAAAGCTGCTCACTGGCAGGTGTGCTGCTGCCATTTCCTGGCCAAGTTAAGGTGAGGTGAAGATCCAGAGCCCAGAACAGAGGTAGCTTTGTCCATGGCCGGAACCACAGAGACGTGGGCTAGCCTTGTGGGATGCGGGGGCAGGGGGGGGGGGGGACTGTGAACCTTCTCCATCTCTGTGGCACGCCGGTCAGACAAGAAGTAAAAGTGCTGACGCACCACTGTGATAAATGTGACAGTAGCAGAAAGCTACAGTACTACAACCTGCATTTTCTAATCTTAAACAATAAACGTATGACCAAATCAGAAACGGTGAAATCTATTATTTTTTCTTTGGAAGCAGCAAAATTGTCAGATGTTTTGGATCAGTTGCCCATCCCTTCTAAATCATGAAAGATTCAAGTGATGTCTAGCACGTTTTACTATAAAAGCGTATATATGTTCCGCAAAATCTCATATGTTAATAACTTAAAAAGATAAGCTGCCGTGTCCACTTATAACTATAAGCAAAAGTTTCGGTCTGCACGTGCTTTAGTTGAGTTTCATATCATTCATATCCCTGTGCAGGAATATGTACGTTAAGTCTGGCGGTGCCATATGTCACGTTTCACTTCATGACTCAACCGATTTTCTGGATATCAAGAGTTGAGAGATTGCGGTTATACAGAAACAATAGAACGTTATACGAATAGACAGGTTCAGAATCAGCAGGACAGAGAGGTTCAAATAAAGTCAAGTTGTTTAGTTATTATTAAAATCGCATAAGTCATACATTTTAAACACTGTACAGTTTTTGTTAATTTCTTGTTAAGCATTTTCGGACAAAGATGACATTTTGGATACCTATATTTCAATATACTCCAATGAGTGGGAGTTCCACTACGGGAAACAGCCGGTCGTTTCCAGCTACATTATTACGTTATTCTTATTTAACGTGAAGACAGAAATTATTCTTGAAGGCTGCAGAATCGCACCGTTTACTGTAACCATCCACGATTTCTTTTTGAACAGCTACTGCACACTGTGGATCTGATCAGCGACCTACCTGCGCAGGTGAAACTTGTAGCTGGACAGCAGCAACTATTTGGATGATGTAGGCAAAAAATTTCATTTCGCGCTTCCATGCAATTTCCAGATGAAGAATTTAACGGGGTGTCAGGAAATCCAAAACAAATGCAATCAAAACACTGATGAAAATCAATTAAATATTTCCAAAAAAAAGGGAAAATGCCAAGTCAGGAGTCAGTTCTTTGATCCGATTTCAGTGGTAAAGAACCGAGAGAATGGGCGCATGGCTACGCACGGCTCAGAGAAGCACAAAATCGATGAAGCGAAGGAGGTATGAAGTCTCACTGAAGTAGCAGTTTGCAGACTACGAATCTCAGCAGATGCTAGTACTGTTTATTCTCTCTGCATATCTTCAATTAAACTAGTAATTAAAAATGTTCTATATACAACAAAATAGTTAAATAAGTGTACAGAAGGACTACTGTTTAGTAAGTTTATTTGTACACGAATTATTTTTAAATGAATTAAGTTGAAAACGACAAAAGCGCATGTATATTCGCAACAAATCACTGCCACCTAATTATTCAGCGTGGTCTTGATGTTGGGCTTCGCTGGCTCGTGCTTCTAACGCAGAGTGTTACGTGCATTGCCACTAATTGCTGCTACCTCAGAACTGAACGAATCTCCTCCCCTCTTAGTCTCCTTCCCTCCCTCTCTACATCTTTTTTCTTTTTTAACTTCTGCCATTCCAGAGATCTTCACCGCAGCCCCCAAAGAAAAATGTGATTATATAATTTTTTTTTGGTCCGCGTTTTTCAGCCAATATTGAACTTTTGTTCTCACTTAGTAATTATGATAATATCAAAGACTTTTTTCCTTCTTAACTTTAAACAACCTGCCTTGTATTGCACCTGAAATTCAGACTACTTGAGGGCGTTATTTTTTCTAAGTGCCCCAAGTTAACCCTTTTATAAGGGATACAAAGCACATTAGAACTGAACCACCAGAAGGATTTATGAAAGACATACTTTGAGTTACAGTAAGTGGAATGGGTACAAATTAATTCATTGTGGTGCTTTATAGAGCTAAACTAAAAACCAAATGAGATAAAATGGATATTACAAGCGTTGAAGCTTGATGTGTTACGTTGGTCTGGCAAGGCCAATGGCAGTCTATTTGACAGGCAGTTGTGACCCCAGAGACCAAATCATAAGTAAAAAACCACAAGCTGAGATTTACAGTGTCCATCCAGTAAATGATTTAAAAAGCCTATAGTTTGATGAAACCATTAAAGCTGTACTGAAAGGTGTTTTTTCTAATGAGAACGTCAGAGATTTGCGCTGATATTCTGCAGAAAAATAATTAACAATCTCTGCAAATTGTCCATGTTTTTCAGTATCCCCTCTCAGTGTATGTATTACAGAACGTGTTCAGCTTTAGAGAGCATTCCTATAGTGCGATGTTTACTTGAAAAGACATGCTCTTCATTCCTCAGCCTTCTCATGAACCCTTGGTACCATGAAAAGGTAGGGTAGCTTAATTGATAGCGAAATCCTTACTGGCGATTATGTGGTAGTTCCAACTACTAGTAATTGGCTGTAATTCACATACCTGGAAATAAAATTCAGAAATGTTGTTTCGTACTTTTAAAAATGAAATGTGCATTATTTTTGTCAATTTCGTGTAAACATCACAAAGACTATTATTTTTTATTGAATTTTGCTATATTTTTGATTTAATGCCAACTCCTGGGAGAGATTTACAGCCTGAAACATCAGGCTGGTGAGCTTGTGTGTTAACTGGGCCTTTCTTTTGGATAGAAAAAGAGATTCCTCGGCTGTTTGTTTTCTGTATGGCACTCCGTGTTTGCAGTAGTGCAGGAATGCAGGATCTAAGGAATCTTCTCTGGCATCCTCCACATTCTTGGAGCTGTGGTGAATGATACCACGCTATTGTACAGAGCACACTTGGAATGGGGGTGTTTGTAAACACCTTAGAAGATGGTGGAGACTCCACAGCCATTCTCCCACCCTTTCACCACCTGCCCTGGCTGTTGGATGGACCCTGGGTCATTGAAAATGAAAATAGTTGATAAGGTTGTCTGCTTTACTGGATTAAATGGCTTATGTGGTCCAGGGAGTTCAAGTCAGCCTCAGCAACAGCAACAGCCATAAAGGCAAAAATGGAAGGAGTAGGGAACATACGTATAGTGAGGCATAACCTTCCTGCAAATGGAAAAGGCTGACTGTAATTGGTAGGCTGTAGCTGAACATTAGCTAAGAATTTTACAAATTAAATCAAAAGACTACTAAACCAACTTTGTGCATCTGCACATACTGTATATTCTTTTAAGAAATCTTTTATCAGCAACCTTACAACTTTTCAAGGATTCCCCGAGTATGATGCATGGTGGAATTCTGCTTTTAAAATCAAATCGTTCAGGTTCAGAGATGGTGAAAATTTCACCATACACTAAAACTACACTGTTTGCAGCTTAGCACTTTCTTCTATCTTTCTCGAGTGGTAGAGGATATGTCTCAGTTAATAATCCCCTTTTTCATGCTGCCCCAATTCCAGAGACATGATCAGAGCAAGGGGACCCAACAAGTGATAGTCATTGGCTAGAGAGCACTAGGAGGGGCTATGACACAGAATATGCTCACAGAATTGTCCCCGTTGTCCTCACCTTGAGATCGTCTCAAATGTTTCGCTCCCCAGTTGACTTAAGAACATTGCTTTCACAGAAACATTGTCACAAATATCTTTGTGCCGTTGTATCGGGTTATCTAACTGCACTACTATGTCATAGTATCACAGGAATAAGATGTTTCATGTGGATGCTGAAAGCTGAGGGCCTGAGAGTTACTTATTCAGGCCCTTAGGAAGACTAAGTATTATAATTCTTGAGCAAGATATCTGACAAGGAGAGTGGAAAATGTATGTCCATCAAGCATTGACACAATAACAAATTTCTCCCATGTCAGAAGCAATTTCTAATGAAAATACGAAAGGCTATAGTTCTTTGGAGAAGTGATTATGTGAGGAACCTCCTCAAACCCTGCCACAATGGGGAGTTATCAGAGACATCCATGGCTGTGCCTTTCTTACTCTTCTACAAGTACTTTGTGCAAGACTAAATAAAAGGGATCTATCCCAACGAAAGGCTAAAACAACAGTGGCAAGTCCCAGTGGAAACAGCATTGTGGCCCATATTTGTTTAGTGTGCAGACATAGGGAGCCAACATGGGTGTGTGTCTCCAGCCACTGCGTGATATATGGCTGTTTTCAAAGGTGCCCTGTGCAACATGGCTTAATTAGACTGCCTTGTTTTAACTGTAAACATCAGCTGACAAGATAAGCAAACCAGGGATGAGCGATGACACTGTCGATGAAGAACTCATCTTCTCCAGGAAAGAAATGCTGGAGGTGGTTGTGTGCGTTCCATGCTTCCTTTCATTCATTCCAGCCTCTTGGACTCTGGCATGGGATCATCTGTCACCGCAAGAAGGAAAAATGTAAAGGGGAGATCTGAGATATTACATCGATGACATTTTCACATGAAATTTTTGGAGACATTTGAATGGACGTAAGGGAATTGAACAACAAAGTCACAAACCAGCCAGCTCCGAAAACATCTCGGGAATTTAACGGGAGCCCCTCCATTTCTTGCTCTGCATGATCTTAGGGCAATGAAGCTGGATTGATCCTTCATTTATACAGTGTTGATTGGCAGAGAAGTGATGCCCAGTTGTTGGATACCTGAGTCACCTCGTTCCATTCTTTAAGGTAGATACAAACAAGCTACCTTTAGGATCCACCGTTTGGACAGTTTGTTTTCCTTAGATCAGCTTGAGGACTTCTATCTATTTAAATATGTGCTTCACACATGGAAAAGTGAAATCAACCTCATTTACCTGACTAACACATAGCATATAACCCTAACACATAATGTGAGGTCTTAAAACCTTTTTTTTTTTATGAAAATGGGCTGTTAGTTGAGGAAGTATTTAAGGAGGGTGAAACTTCTATATTGAAAGGCATTTTTTGAAGAATCAGGAGAAAGCCACAGATAAGTTGCCACGTGGCATTCGAGCCAAGAGGAGAATTGGGGCGGAAGTGTAGAAGGTTGCAGAGCTGACACAAGAGTCTTGTGCGCACTGTAAAGCTTCTATTGATCTTCTGATGGTATAATGGTGTATAATGGCTATCAGGAACTGGGGTGCAAAGACAAACACATTTTCCACCCACTGTTGATCCACCCCCCCCCCTCCATTTTACAAAATTGCTGAGAAAAAGGTAAACAGCTGAACAACACTAATGGCATCCATTCATCACTGTTAAGGGCCTCCTCACTGGTGGCTGTGGTTTGGACAGTGAGGGAGATAGGGGAGCCCCCCAAAGGATTCTGCTAACTCCTATGCTGCAGGTCATTTTTAACCCTAATGGTGCAGATCCTTTTAAATGCTTCCATTAGTTGTGAGGCCTCATTGCTTTTGAGTAGCAGGCAGAGAACAGAGCTGCTGGTTGAGTTGATTTTTAGGCTTCATGGGCCTAACAGGCTTGGCCTGCTCTTTGAAAAACCAAGAGTTAGTCATGAGAGTATTGGGAAAAAAGGCTCCGTAAAATGATTAGTCTGCCAGTAATCCCCAGGGCGGATGTTAAGCTTCTGCATTGTGGTGTGGCTTTAGTCTGGGGAGCTCCCTGCACCGTGGAGCAAGGCCAGGGCTCTCCCCAGAGAATCCAGCTGGACCCACGTCTTCACAAGTTTCCAAGGAGAGCACGCAGTTAAGCCTGACGGCTTCCATAATGCTTCGTTCTGTACGTTTAGAAAGCGCGGTGAATGTACGCTTTGCTTCCTAGCATAAGCCTTGTTTGTGGGACAGACCACCTAGTTGACTACTGGGTTCGGGAATGTTCACGTGGGTAAAAGAGAGAGGATTCCACATGTCTGGAATAACTTTTCAGAGATTTCCGTGTTAAGTCATTGCCTTTATTTTTGGTAGTTTCCACTCATCTTTTGGAAAAATTTATGGCAAATATGAAGCCAGGACTCACTGCCCTCCTCTCGGGGCTGTGTATTTAGGTGGCCTGGTCTCTGCCTTGCTGTCGACCACCTGGACAGTACCTCCTCAGGGCTCTGACATTGGGGCAAGCCTCAAGGCACCATCTTCCTGTTATGCATTGGCCCCAGTGCTCTCTTTCCCAGCTTACTGCCCTGCGGCTGTATGGAGAATGTGTGTGTTTGTGTGGGGGTGGCCAGGGAAATGATCACAGTTCATAGTAATAAGCTACTTATTACTGCTTAAAGAGGTTACCATTATTTAGCAAACCAGCTGTTCCATTTGACTGACTTCAGTTCCTGTTTATGATCCCAGGTGTCACGTTGTTGTCACAGCTAAGCAGGTGACCATCAGATGTCATCCTGTTTCTTTCTGCCTTGTGTGTGTTGATTTCATAGGGGAATCCCCCCCCCCACGAATGCAGCAGTAATGGTATTTCAGTCAAAAATATCAGGCAAAGGAAGAAGGAAGCATTTCCATTTCCTCCCCCGAATAATTCCATGCTGAAATCAATTCCAAGCATCGGAAATATTTTAATACTAATAGTAAAGTGCTTTAACCTTAACAGTTAAATGCAACTATGAGCTGGATTTCCT